AAAGCTGCCCCAACTTATAACTTTATAACTATAAATGAAGCAATTAAAAAAATCTTATTTATTGTTAGTTTATCCCGTTGGTCACAGCGGGCTGGGCTGGGCTCATGAAAGAGGCAGCTCTCTGCTGCAGCTGGGAGTGACAAACAGCTTATATGTGAAGTAAGAAAAATATGAAAGCAGAAGAAGAATCTCATGTTTAATAAAAAAATTAAACATGAGATTCTTAGATCGTGAGAGAAATCCAGAAGATTCCACGTTAAACTTGATAAACTGTTCACCTCAGAGATGAATACTTACTGAGCATTCCTGCTCTAGGGTAAAGGGTTCAGGGTGTAGACTACACTGATGGCTGCTGGTAGCTTTTAAAGGCACAGACCTGTATTTTCTGATGAGGTATCTGCAGTGGCGCAGCAGGTATTCCTTGGAGGGCCGACACAGTTTGAGGGACCAAAAGTCATCCAGGCGCATCTTAGGAGAACAAGACTTCCCGGGGTTTCCCCCAAACAAGTAATGCACCTGCAAACACACAAGTATAAGATACATTTATCATTCACTCTTTAGTATGTTTTAGTGCACAAGATAAATCTGCCTGTTGGTGTCTGCAGTATGAATAAAACACACCGCTCTGAATTTAGCTTCTAAAATACATGTTGATCTTCTGATCGAGCTGTAGGCCTCAGGCCTGCACGAGGCTTCGTTCCACTCCACTGTTAATCCACACTTCCTTCACATTTACCTGCTGTCTGTTTACACAGGAAGTCTCACTTTTACAATACAGTTTGAAGCATTTCAAATAAAAAGAAAGGTCAGACTTGTTGTTAGGTTAACATCGGTCAGAATGTCAAAGGGAAAAATGCTGGACTTCAGTCAAGCTGCGTAAATCTAAATTGTGTTAGAACAAAAAAATCATTCTGCAAGTGACACAGTTGTTTGTTCACAGTGATTCTCCTTCTTTATTAAGGAAAAGGGGAACGACCGACAAACAGTTTAAAGCATCATTAACTGAATTTTTGTTTTTTTACTGTAAACATTTCAACTTTGCAACACTGAAAGTCTACACAAGCGCTTCGTGTTGCCAGATGTGTGACTGGACAGGGAGCTGGGCTGTGTTTGTGTAACAGTGTAATTACTTTGTGCATCTCATCGTAGACCAGCTGGTGAGCAAAGCGTGGACATGGCTCCTCCTCCTGCAGAGCCTTGCTGGGGTTTTCTTTCACTGCCTGATCGTTCTTATACACACAAGACCTGAGCAGGAGCACACACACAATTTACATCAAAGATACACAACACTTCCTGAAGCCCTCAGGAACAACTGTTTGTTACAGCACAAACACACGTTTGTGAACAACATTACTGACATACTGCATATTGTCCTTCCAGTCACATTAACCCATAACTCCAACCTAAACCTTAATCAGAAAACCAAG